TTTCATATTTCCAGTGTGCGTTTCATATTTCCAGTGTGCCTTTCATATTTCCAGTGTGTGTTTCATATTTCCAGTGTGCGTTTCATATTTTCATTTGACTGAACTGGTGTACCACTGAGCTGCTGGAGTCCGGTCCATCCACCAGCAGTGCCGTGTTTTCAGCCAACCGGAGTTAGTCGTGGTCGGCCTTGATCAGTTCTTTAGTCTGCGTGCACGTTGCTCGACTGTTAAATGTTTACTCGTGCACAAGACAGTTGTGTTGTTGTTGTTTACATCCGAACTAAAACAGTTTTTTCAAACTGGATGAGAGACAGGACTCCTCAGCATCGGACCCCCTCATCCAAGTTTCCATAGCAACCCTTTGGTTGTGATTTTTATACGGAGCATCACCTGGTGGGCTCATGTAAGAATCAAAAATCAGATAGAGATAAAGGTAAACCATTTATATATTGTTGCTAAATGTAAGTTTTTTTTATTTTATGATTAATAAAAGATCAAAAAGCATTTATAACAGATTTGAATGAGGTCGATTGTTCCCCAAAGGAACTCTAGAGGGCAGTAAAGTTTCTGAGAAGTTACAGCAGCGTTTGAAACAATTCGGACAAAGAAAAAGGACTTTTTAGACTTTGTTCATAACGGATGTTTTTATTGACAACAAATAAATAAATCAATCAACTGGAACAAATTTGTGATTTTCCTCTACGAGGGCTTCCGAGGGTTAACGACTCCCAGTCGTCTGTTGAGCTATAAAGGTTTTTCATCTGAATCTGTCCTGGTTTGTTGTTTCTGAGGTTTTTAAATAAATAATTCTGTTTGTACGAGACCAACGGAATGAGAGACAGGAAGTGAAGCAGTTTTTGTCCTCAGGCGGAGTCCAGTCGCTGCCGGACGTCTTGTCGTCTCTGGATCGCAGTTTGGAGGCCAAGAAGAGAAAGAACGTGGAGGTTCTGTGGACCGCGGCTGCTGTAAGTCCTCCTGAAAACATCTTTATTTTTATAGAAACCGATCAAAGTTGACTGTAAATAATTCTTCGTTGTGTGTTTTTTGCGTGGAGGTGTGTCGGAGCGTAAACGGCGTCCGCCTCACGAGCTGTAAGAGCGCGAAGGACCGCACGGCGATGTCGGTGACCCTGGAGCAGTGCGCCATCCTGCGAGAGCGCCACACCCTCAGCCAGCAGCACTTCAGCTCGGCGCTGAGCTCCATGAGGAGGTGAGCTCATCCCAGGAGTTGCTCCAGCAGCTCCAGCCTCTGCGTCTCACGCTCCTCGTCCCGTCATCACTTCCTGTTGTCGTCCATTTCCTTCCTTTCTTTATTCTGTCTTTCACTTTTTTATCTGATCTGTTTCTCTTCCACCCTTTTGTCTTCTCACACGTGCACACCCACACTCCTGCAGATCTCGTCTGTCCTGGGGGCAGATGCTGGGGTGTTACGCCCACTCGGGCTCCTCGGTCTCTGGGTTAGATCCAGACCAGCGTCCCTCGGGTCTCCGGAGCTTCGGGCTCCGTCGGTGTTTGGCTTCCAGACGACACTTTTACCCGGTGGCCTTTCTGCTCGTGACCTCTCACCTCCTGGTCCTTTGGCTGATCCTCAGCCTGGTGGTCCTGCTGGACAAATACCAGTGAAGGAGTCTGGACTGGGAGCGCACGGACGAAGGTTTCTGCCAGGTTTGTTCCGTTCCATCAAACTCCAGACTGGATCTTAAGGTCTGATGTTTGTGGCTTCATCATGAAGGCCAAGACCGTCACAAGAACACTTCTTCATCTTCAACTTTTTATCTTCATGTTCTTCATCTTCCTCATTTTTGTATTTTTGTTCCTTCTGTAGTAAAAATAATATAAATAATAATAAATATTATTAATACTTTATTTCCTGTTTTTTGGGACGATACGTCTTTAATGAAGCCGAGTCGGATCTCGCAGGATGTGTTTAAAGGAAGTCGATGTCTTCGTGTCGACCTGCGTGTTTTTATTATTATTTTATTTTATGATTCTGATGCTGTGCGCAGAGACGGCTGCAGGATGGAGAACGTCCAGAAGAACGTCGGCAGCAGGAAGTTCGCCTTCAGCGGCGTTCAGCTCCTCACCTTCCCCAAACTCTACAGACCTCCAGACGGCAGCTACGGATGAACTGCTTTAAGCTGATCCTTGTTTTATAAATGTGTGTAAATTAAATTATTTTATCATAACGAGCACCGTCTGCTTTGTTTTCATTTTAGTTTGCAGATGTTTGAATTTTAAACGTGTTTCTGCAGAACATCTTCATTTAATTTGTCCAACTGTTTCTCCTCAGACGTCAAAATGTTCTTAAATAAAACACAGAGACAGAAATCAAATCAAACTTTACAAATTAAATTAATTTATACAACAAGTTCAAATATAAACAAGGTGACGCTCAGCCATATGAAACCTGAATTAAATCAGAATGTTCACAAATGTTATTAAAAGTTTATTTTTCTTAATTTTATTACATTAGATTCCTGAGGGAATGCTTTTTGCAGAATAACTTGCTGAAAAACAGCTGAAATGAAAGAACAAGCCGAAGTTAGCAGAAAGAACACATTTATGAAACACTTCCTGCTTGCTCTTGACGAAGACGGACACGTTTCCTCCCGCTCCTGCCTCCTTCCTGCTTCTCTTGTCTGTGAATCTTGTGCAGAACCTCTCTACGCATCTTCTGAATTGTAAATTATGGATCTGCTCAGCTGGTCTCTCCAAATTTCTCGACGAGAAGACGGGACGAAGGAGAGCCCTCACGCCCTGACGGGACACTCGCAGCTGGACACGATGGATTCCTGGAGAC